AATACAAAATAAGTTGCTCCTACAGAAATATTAAATGGTCCATACATAATGACATAGGGTGGTAATCAAAATGAAGGTCAGGCCTCCAGGTCAAAGGTACATCTTCTCTTGTGGTCTATTGATGATTTCTGCATTGTCAGCGCTGATCACTGTCCAGGTCACCTGTTGGGTTGATCATCAGAGAGAGGGACTTGCAAGAGAGACACTTTAAGAAGGACTGCTTACAACAATCCCCCCGCCAAACGGCTGGGGGGGGTGGGAAATTACCCCCTACACCCTGCAAGTCCCTCTCCCCGATGATCTTGGGGTTCCTCGGCCCTGGGCTGCCAGCCCCTGGGCATTAGCCTCAGTCATTGCAGATGTCTGAGCCTGTAAAGGTAAAGCTAGTGATTGGGACTGGTGCTGTTGCATCCCCACAACCTGTGAGGTCACCACCCATCTGCTCAGTGAATGCTCTCTCAATCCCGCACAGGCCATGTAGTGGTCTGAATTCATCCCTTCCCAGACCAGTAGCTTTACAAACTGATCTCAGAGGTTCCCTGCTGGCAGCTTGTGGTGAATGCTCTGTTGGACTCAGTCTACAAACTCAGCTGGAGGCTCACCAGGTTTTTGCCTCACTCCTGCTATGGAGGACTCAGTAGGGCCATCATCCAGTTTGTACCACGCAGCCAGTCCTGCTTGCCTCACCTGGTCATGGTATGGGCCAGGTATTTCCGCCTGTTTGACGCCAGTGGAGTACCCTTCCCCGTCCCTGTTAACATGGCATAAGTAATAAGTATCGTGGATTGAACCTGACAATTATTTTCTACTTGCCCTCTGCATTCCTCCTTAAAGAAAGCACACATTTAATAAACTGAGAACTGGTGAGGACGGCTTTAGCCACATCCAGCCAGGCTTTAGGGACACCTGGGTGGTAAGCAATGTCCTGTAATAAGCTCTGGGCCCAAGGAGAGTTTGGGCCATCTTCCACCACCTTGTTGCAGAGCTCTTTAAGATCCTTAGCTTCCCATGGATACCATTCCAAGGGCCTGTTTGCTCCTGGTGCCAGATTGACCGGATACGCTTGGGGAAGCAAATCCTGTGGCCTAGGGTCCAGGCTCTCAGGTGGCCCTTCCCTTCCAGGGTAGACCTCCTAGTAGGTTACTTCCCCAGCACTCCGCCCCTCTGTTGATGGTTTGTAGGTGTCCGCGTCTAGCAGGTATCTCTCACAGATCGCATAGGGTTCCATACATCCCCTCCAATTGGGGGAATAAAAAGGGGACCTATGACCATCAGGGGCATCTGAATCAGAGGAACTAACTTTGCCCCTCGGTTTGACTTCCATGGTGCATGTGTGTTCACTCATGCAACTTCGCTGTCAAAACACTAATCCTATCATCAATATTTCTATGAATTCGAGCATCCTACCCACGCTTCCGTTACGACCAACTAATACATTTATTATGAAAAAATTTCTTACCACTAACACAAGCCCTATGTATATGGTATATTGCTATCCCAATCTCCACAGCAAGCATCCCTCCAATATTATAGAAATATGTCTGACAAAAGAGCTACTTTGATAGAGTAAAACATAGAGGTTCAAGTCCTCTTATTTCTAGAACTTTAGGACTCGAACCTAACCTGAGAATTCAAATTTCTCCGTGCTACCAATTACACCAAATCCTAGTAAGGTAAGCTAATTAAGCTATCGGGCCCATACCCCGAAAACATTGGTTCCAACTCTTCCCATACTAATTAATACCATTGCATTTATTCTAATTATATTCACTATGATTCTAGGCACTGCCATTGCAATAACAAGCTCACTCTGAATACTCACATGAGTGGGTCTAGAGATCAACATATTATCTATAATTCCCCTCATAACAATTAATAAAAATCCACGATCAACCGAAGCTGCATCAAAATACTTTTTAACCCAAGCAACTGCATCCATAATCCTAATATTCGCTATCACAAACAACTTTCACCACTCGGGACAATGAGATATTCAACAACCACCCAATCCACTAACATCCCTAACGTTACTAATCGCCCTAGCAATAAACTTAGGTCTAGCCCCATTCCACCTGTGAGTCCCAGAAGTTACCCAAGGCATCCCCCTGCTATCCGGATTAATTCTGTTAACCTGACAGAAGCTAGCTCCAATCTCAATCTTCTACCAACTCTCCCCATTCATAGAAAAAAACCTAATCCTACCCATAGCTATTCTATCAATCTTGTTAGGAGGCTGAGGAGGCCTAAACCAAACCCAACTACGAAAAATCATATCATATTCATCAATCGCCCATATAGGCTGAATAATAGCAGTAATAATCTACAACCCCTCTACAATAATCCTCAACCTAATCATCTATATTATCCTCACTACAACCCTCTTCATCTCACTAAACTCCCTATCCATCACAACTACCTCATCACTTACTTCAACATGAAATTCACACCCCCTAATAACCCTAGCAACCCTCTTATGCTTAATATCCCTAGGAGGTCTACCTCCCCTCACCGGTTTCCTACCAAAATGATTGATCATCCAAGAGATAATCTTCAATGACATAATCACAACCAGTCTAGCCATAGCAATAATAGCCCTTCTAAACCTATTCTTTTACATACGATTAATTTATTCAACTTCCCTCACCCTATTTCCACTATCCAACAATACCAGATTCAAATGACACCATCCGAACCAAAAAGCCCCAACAACAATCCCTACAATATTAATTATTTCATCCTTCTATTTACCTTTAACACCAATAATCACAACTATTATATAGAAATTTAGGTTAATTTAGACCAAGAGCCTTCAAAGCTCTAAGTAAGTCCATAAACTTAATTTCTGACCATAAGGACTGCAGACCTTCCATCTACATCTGATGAACGCAAATCAATAGCTTTAATTAAGCTAAATCCTTTCTAGATTGATAGGATTTTAACCTACATATCTTTAGTTAACAGCTAAACACCTTAATCAACTGGCTTCAATCTACTTCTCCCGCCTAAAAAAAGAAAGGAGGCGGGAGAAGTCCCGGCAGGATTGAAGCTGCTCCTTTGAATTTGCAATTCAACATGCGATGCACCTCAGGACTTCACTGGTAAAAAGAGGAATTAACCTCTGTAGTTAGATTTACAGTCTAATGCCTTACTCAGCCATTCTACCTATGTTCATTAACCGTTGACTATTCTCAACTAATCACAAAGACATCGGAACCCTTTATATAATCTTCGGTGCTTGAGCCGGAATAGTAGGAACAGGACTAAGCATCCTAATTCGAGCAGAACTAGGTCAACCTGGTTCCCTATTAGGAGACGACCAAATTTACAATGTAATTGTTACTGCCCACGCATTTGTAATAATTTTCTTTATAGTAATACCCATTATAATCGGTGGGTTCGGAAACTGACTAGTCCCCCTAATAATCGGCGCACCCGACATGGCTTTTCCATGAATAAATAATATAAGCTTCTGACTCTTACCACCTTCATTCCTTCTCCTATTAGCATCTTCCATAATTGAATCTGGAGCCGGAACAGGATGAACTGTATACCCACCTTTAGCAGGAAATCTAGCACATGCTGGAGCTTCTGTCGACCTGACAATTTTCTCTCTTCACTTAGCAGGAGTATCATCTATCCTCAGAGCTATTAACTTCATCACTACTATTATTAATATAAAACCACCCGCAATATCACAATATCAGACACCCCTATTTGTCTGATCTGTCCTTATTACAGCTGTCCTTCTTCTACTATCCCTTCCAGTATTAGCTGCAGGAATTACTATGCTTCTAACAGATCGTAATCTTAACACAACTTTCTTCGACCCTGCAGGAGGCGGAGACCCAGTACTTTACCAACACCTATTTTGATTTTTCGGCCATCCAGAAGTCTACATTCTCATTCTTCCCGGATTCGGAATAATCTCACATATCGTTACATATTATTCAGGAAAAAAAGAACCCTTCGGATATATAGGCATAGTGTGAGCCATAATATCTATTGGATTCCTAGGATTCATTGTATGAGCACACCATATATTTACAGTAGGAATAGACGTAGATACTCGAGCCTACTTTACATCTGCTACAATAATTATTGCTATCCCAACAGGAGTGAAAGTATTCAGCTGACTAGCTACTCTCCACGGAGGAAATATTAAATGATCGCCAGCCATATTATGAGCACTAGGATTCATTTTCCTATTCACAGTAGGTGGACTAACCGGAATTGTTCTATCAAACTCATCCCTAGACATCGTACTTCACGATACATACTACGTAGTAGCCCATTTCCACTACGTTCTTTCTATAGGAGCTATATTTGCCATTATAGGAGGCTTCGTTCACTGATTCCCTCTATTTACCGGCTATACACTAAGTGACATATGAGCTAAAACACACTTCACCATTATATTTATTGGTGTAAATATGACCTTCTTCCCTCAACATTTCCTAGGACTAGCAGGTATACCACGACGATACTCCGACTATCCAGACGCCTACACTACATGAAACACAATTTCATCTATAGGTTCATTTATTTCCCTAACAGCCGTAATCCTAATAATTTTCATAATCTGAGAAGCATTCGCATCAAAACGTGAAGTAACAACAGTGCAAATAACATCAACAAACCTTGAATGAATACATGGATGTCCACCACCATTCCACACCTTCGAAGAACCAGCCTATGTAAAACCGGCCAACTAAGAAAGGAAGGATTTGAACCCCCTAAAACTGGTTTCAAGCCAGTCCCATATCCAATATGTCTTTCTCAAAATGAGATATTAGTAAAATTAATTACATAACTTTGTCAAAGTTAAATTATAAGCCTAATACTTATATATCTCTATGGCTTACCCCCTTCAAATAGGACTTCAAGATGCTTCATCTCCAATCATAGAAGAATTAACTGACTTCCATGACCATACTCTCATAATCATATTTCTTATTAGCACCCTAGTCCTATATATCATTTCATTGATATTAACCACTAAGCTCACCCACACTAGCACTATGGATGCTCAAGAAGTAGAAACTATCTGAACAATTCTTCCAGCCGTTATCCTAGTTATGATTGCTTTACCCTCCCTTTGCATTCTTTATATAATAGACGAAATCAACGACCCAGCACTAACAGTAAAGACCATAGGACATCAATGATACTGAAGCTACGAATATACCGACTTCAACGACCTTATATTTGACTCCTACATAATCGCCACATCTGACCTTAAACCTGGAGAACTACATCTCCTAGAAGTAGACAACCGAGTCGTCCTCCCAATAGATCTACCCATCCACATACTAGTTTCCTCAGAAGATGTACTACATTCGTGAGCAGTACCCTCACTAGGAATCAAAACAGATGCTATCCCAGGACGACTAAACCAAGCCACCCTATCATCTACACGACCAGGACTATTCTATGGCCAATGCTCTGAGATCTGCGGTTCCAACCATAGTTTCATACCAATTGTCGTCGAAATAGTCCCACTTAAATATTTTGAATCATGATCAACAACAATACTTTAGACCCCATTATGAGGCTATTAAAGCATTAACCTTTTAAGTTAAAGACAGGACACCAATTGTCCCATAATGATATGCCACAATTAGATACATCACCATGATTTGTTACCATTATAGGAACCACACTTACCCTATTCATTATTTTCCAATTAAAATTTAAAACCTTCACTTTCCACCCACAACCACAGACCAAAAATTTTCTATACACCAAAGCATCTAATCCTTGAGAACTAAAATGAACGAAAATTTATTCACCCCTTTCACTACCCCTACACTCTTAGGCCTACCCCTCGTTATTGCAATCATTATATTCCCATCCATCCTATTTCCACAACCAAAACGACTAATCAATAATCGTCTCACTACTTTCCAATCATGACTCATAAACGCAATCATTAAGCAAATAATAAGCATGCACAGCCTAAAAGGACGCGCCTGCACACTCCTACTTACATCCCTTATCATCTTTATTGGCTCCACAAACCTTCTAGGCCTCCTACCTCATTCATTTACTCCCACTACCCAACTCTCCATAAATCTAGGAATAGCTATCCCGCTATGAGCAGGAACTGTCCTACTAGGATTCCGATACAAAACTAAATCATCACTAGCCCACTTTCTACCACAAGGAACTCCATTACCATTAATCCCAATACTTATCATCATCGAATCCATCAGCCTATTAATCCAACCTATAGCCCTCGCCGTACGACTAACAGCCAACATTACAGCTGGCCACCTCCTAATTCACCTAATCGGAGGAGCTGCCTTAGCAATCTATTCTATTAGCCCAATTGGATCGCTGGCAGCATTCATTATCCTCACACTTCTAACAATCCTAGAATTTGCAGTAGCCCTTATTCAAGCCTACGTCTTTACCCTACTAGTAAGCCTATACCTACATGACAACACCTAATGACACACCAAACACATGCCTTCCATATAGTTAACCCCAGCCCCTGACCATTAACTGGAGCTATATCAGCTCTCCTCCTAACATCAGGAATAGTAATATGATTCCACTATCAATCCGTCACGCTCCTCCTCATGGGTATCCTATCTAGTGTCCTTACTATATTCCAATGATGAAGAGACGTAATTCGCGAAGGAACATTTCAAGGCCACCACACCCCTGTAGTTCAAAAAGGCCTTCGCTACGGTATAGTCCTATTTATTATTTCAGAAGTGTTTTTCTTTGCATGCTTCTTCTGAGCATTTTACCATTCCAGCCTAGCCCCCACTCCCGAACTAGGGGGATGCTGACCACCAACCGGAATCACTCCATTAAACCCCCTAGACGTACCATTACTCAATACCTCTGTCCTTCTAGCCTCCGGAGTATCAATTACATGAGCCCATCACAGCCTCATAGAAGGTAACCGAATCCCAATAATTCAAGCCCTTTTCATTACTATTATTTTAGGAATTTACTGTTTTACAAGCCTCCGAATACATAGAAACCTCATTTACCATTTCAGACAGCGTGTACGGCTCAACATTCTTCATAGCAACAGGCTTCCACGGCCTACACGCAATAATTGGAACAACATTTCTTATCGTATGCTTAATCCGCCAAATCCAATTTCACTTCACATCCACTCACCATTTCGGCTTTGAAGCAGCAGCATGATATTGACACTTCGTAGATGTTGTCATGCAACATGTGTGTTCTAGGTTGTCATGTGTGTTCTAGGTGAAATTTGACCCATTCCTTTTCCTTCTCACTTCCCAAGTCCTCCTTTACTCCTTCTAGGCCTAATGTTGCCTCCTCTTCCTTCTTCTGTGAGATAGCATTGCCCATACTAAGGGTTACACTTACCCTGACAGACTGCTTAGCCTCTGTCAGTATTTTTCCTTTCATGCCCCATGTTGGGAGCCAGATGTTGGGTCTTCCTCCATCACACGAAAGACGGACAGGGTCCGAGGAAAGCTAAGTGCGGCAGCTCGCCCGTTCCCCAGCCTCCCTCAGTCCAGGAGACAATCAGACGCAGCGGGGAGTCAACTCAAGCAGGAAAACTCATTTATTAACATAGAGCAAGCCATTTTTAAAGCAAAAAAGAGTGGGTGGCATGGGAGGGGAGGAAGAGAGGAAACAATCACTGTCAAGGTCACACCCTATCATGCACCTAAGATTCCATGGTCTAGTTATGCACTGAACATAAAGCAAATCAGGCTCTGCCCACTCAACTCCCTATCAGCGCAATCTTTGCTGCCCATGTGCTCTACATCATGTGAGTACTGATTCTTGGATCAGTACTCCAATTTCTGAATGTGATTCTTACTGTCACACTTCATGAACTCTTAATTAAAAATTATTGTTGTGCCATACGTCTTGCCTATCATTTCCTATGAGAATCATGAATGAACTAAACTCTTCCGTAGGACTCAATTCAAGCACCTCATAACATTTATAGACATGTCAAATATACGATTTATACTTACATCTATATATTAAGTCTATATTGTGTTTGTTGTAGTGATTCATTATGTTTTATTATTGATTTAGCATTTATTTTATGAACTGTGAGTGCACCCATAATATTTATTACATTTATTCCAATCTATTCCATAGCATGTAACTTTGCAGACATGTTATGAACTTGCACAGAAAAGGAAAAAAGGTGTCACACTTGAAATCTTACACCAGGAAAAAATTTTTGGCAATGATGGGACGTGATCTGAAAGCCTGAGAGGCCCAATTCTTGAATGTGTGAGTGTCAGCACCATAGCCTCTAGTCCATTCAGCTGCCAAGTCGATCCCAAGACCTGGAATCAAGCCCCTGTTTGGCTAAAATCGCAGTAACTTTCTGTGACGATGGTGGTACATAAATAAATATAAATACCTAAATTTGGCCAAAATCACAGTAACTTTCTATGACGATGGTGGTACATAAATATAAATTTAGATATTTAGGTACTGCCAGAGGTGTCTATCTAGTATTCAATGACATATACTACGTTCTTACCGATTCTCATGTATTTAGTGAGGATTCCATTTAATCAATAATATTCTTTAAATGCATAATAAACTATGAATTAAAATCAATCTGTGTCCTGTGATTATTGGGTCTAATTTTATGCTAGACTCATTTTGAGGGACTACTTATCCAACCATGACATTGATCACATTTCTCTGGTGTTCCTATGGACAGGCAATAGTTTCTTAGACTCTCCAGCCCCTTTTAAGTGGCATGATCAGGATTCAAACTCAGGGCCTAGCGTCCACTGACCTACAGCTTCACTGACAGCCCGCCAGCCTTCAGCAATGCCAGGTGAACTACAGGTTGCAGCCATGTCATTCAGACTCAAGATGGTCACCGTGCAAGGAAGAAAAATAGAAACTGCTGACCTTCTGTAGTTTGATGCTTTTTTTTTTGGTGGTGTTTTCATTTTGTTTTCCTGTTAGTCCCCGAGGCCTAGGATCCAGGATGGGCTGTGGGTCCATAGGCTGCACCATCCCAGCCTAGCGTGATGGAAACTGAGGCAGAATTGCCACGACCTGAGTTAAAGCCACGTGCATGGCAAAAAATAAATTAATTAATTAATAATATTACTAAAGCTCCTTGTCTTGAATTTTGTGCCATTTTGTTGTTTGCCAGGCAGGGATGCATCTTGGGATCTGGGTAACGCTGATGCACTGAGGGGGGTGGAGGAAAAGAAAGATCTCCTCCATTGAAGACAAGAATTCAGGCCTGTTCCCTAGGACTGAATTCAAGCCCCAGTCCTGGAGAACATAACATTTATAGACATGTTTATTATATGATTTATACTTACATCCATATATTCAGTTTATATCGTGTTTGTTGAAATGATTCATTATATTTTATTATTTATTTATTTACTTACCATTTATTTATGTACTGACTGTGAGTGCACCTATAACATTTATTACATTCATTGAAATCTATTCCATAGCATGGAGCTTTGCAGACATATTATATACATCATACCTGACACCCAGCACTTGCACAGAAAAGGAAAACAGGTATCACACTTGGAATCTTTCTCCAGGAAGACATTTTTAGCAATGCTGGGGCCTGAACTGAGGCCCTAGGAGGTCCAATTCGTGAATGGGTGAGTGTCATCATGGCAGCCTCTATCACATTCAGATGCCAGGTGGATCCCAAGACCTGGGATCGAGACTCAGGTTTGGCCAAAATAGCAATACTTTTCTATGCAGACGGTGGTATAAAAATAAATATATATTTAGAAATTTAGATACTTCCAGTGATGTCTATCTAGTAGTATTCAATGACATATACTAACTTCCTAGTGATTCACAGGTATGTAGTGAGAATTCTATTTAATCAATAGTATTCTTTTAGGGGCTGGGAAAGTGGCTCACTGTGAGAGTGCTTGTCTTGCATGCATGAGCCCTGGGTTTGATTCCTCAGCACCACATGATCAGAAAAAGCCAGGAATGGTGTTGTGTCTCAAATGGTACAGCATTAGCTCTGAGCTGAAAAGCTGAGGGAGAGTTCCCAGGACCAGAGTTCAGGCCCCACTACCGACAAAACACACACACACACACACACACACACACACACACACACACACACACGTATTCTTTTAATGCGTAATAAACTATAAATTAAAATCAATCGACATCTTGTAAATATTGGGTTTAATTTTATGTTAGACTGATTGACAAACTACTCAACCAACCATGACATGATCACATTCCTCTGGTATTCCTATGAACAGGCATTAGTTTATTAGGCTCTCCAGCCCTTTCTAAGTGCCATGACAGGGATTCAAACACCTAGGTGTCCAGATTGGGCTGTGGGTTCGCTGCCAGCCTGCCAGCCTTCAGCAATGCCAGGTGACCTACAGGTTGTAGCTGGTGTCATTTGGACCCGGGGTGGTCACCATGCAAGCAAGGAAAACCGAGAAACCTCCAACTGTCTGCAATTCGAGGCTATTTTTCAGTACTGTTTTCAATTTGTTTTCCTGTCAGCCCCTGAAGCCTTGATTCCTAGGATGGGCTGTGGTCCCAGAAGCTGCACCATCCCAGCTTAGGGTGATGGAGGCTGAGGCAGAGTTGCTACAACCTAAGTCCAAGCCCCGTGCCTGGCAAAATAAATGAATTAATAAATAAAATATAATAAAATTTAATAAAGTATATAAACATAAAATATTTTTTTATTATTTATTATTATTTTTCATTGTGAAAATACTGTACAGAGGGGTTACAATTACATGGGCAAGATAATGAGTACATTTCTTATCAAGCATTGCAGCCTCCTCCTTTGTTTACCCTTCACATCCCTTCCCATCCTCTCTGTCCTCCACCTAATCCTCCCCCCTCGAAGTTGTAAAGTTCATTTTTGACATGACAACTTACACTTCTCATTGTTGCAACAGGTCCACCTGTATCCTTATTTAAATGACTTGTTTTTCCCCTTCTCCTCCACAAATTACACCGACATCAAATACAGTGAAAGCAG